CCGGAAGCCCGATCTCGGGTGACGACGGAGAATTTCAAATGCACGCGCTCCCCGCCCTCTAGCCTGTGCAAAGGCCTTCGACGTACAGGGCTCCAGTTCTCTAGCCGTAACCCGATTTTTGGCAGTTCGGCGCCCCATTAAAGACTGCTGGAACTCTGGAACGCACACTGTCACCCCGAGGGTGCTGCCCCATTAACGCGCGGATTGAGGCGTCATTAGTGGTGCACCGTATTGGGCAAAGGCCCTCTGGGGTTTGGGACGCCTCTGAGTCCCTTCCCCACTTGGCCCTGTGGTATAGTGGCTAGCGCGTCGGACTGTGGAGCGAACCATCGCGGGTTCGACCCCCGTTCGGTGCGCAACTTTCTTGCTCTCAACGGAATTGCATCGTTCTGGCGGTCTTTAATAAGACGGGCAAGGCGGAACGGGTCGCGTGTCGCGCGATCGAGACTTACGCAAAGGCCCAGCACGATCCGCAATCGCCTTGGGCGCGTATAGCCGACAGCACGCCCGTCGACCGCAGGTCCACATTGCCGTTGTTTTGTTGCGTGGTGGTGGTCGTGCCCGATTTCTTGGTTGTCGTGTCCTCGTCAATAACAGGCCACCCGCCGTTGTCTTCGTCGATGACCGGCCACCCTTCGTTCTCCACCTCATCGCCGGGCCTCACGATGTTAAAGGCGTCACGCCGGGCCTAGAACTTTATTGCTACCGATCATTTCTAGAAGCTGAATACTCCGGTTAGGGAAACCTGCTGCCCTTAGAAATAGCCATTCCTGCGATCGAATTCTTTATTCAGCCAAATGCCCTGGGACCCACTCTGTTGGCCGACATGCCCCTCGGCTTTGAGTCGAGCTTCATCACCATCTAAAAAAGCGGGAGCATGACCAAAATTATAGCGTCGAAATGGATAATGTCGACATTACAGAAAATCAAAATTTTACGCCGCCTATGGTCGACATTTTTTCGGTTTTTCGAAAAATTTGTTTGAGAAACGTCGACGTCTGGAAAAATGGGAGGCTGTAAAATTTCGCAATTTTGGACGAAACTCTTTAGGAATACCGTTCAAGTGCATTAAACATCAGTATTTTTTGAATTACCTGGATCTCAAATGTAATCCGGTACAAAAGCTTACGTCGCGCTATATCAGAAATTATTTAGGACCAAACAAACCCTCGACTTCTCCTCGTCCGACATATCCGAGAAACGGTTCACCCCGTATTCGGCGCTAACAATCACGGTTTCAATCAAAGGGAGGCCTCGACCCACCCGCCATTCGAGTTGGCATTCCACTCCTTGATCCTTTTCAGATGGGCCTTGAAGTTGCGCTTGCGCTTCTTGCAGTTCTCACTCCCGTCCGTGCAGCTTTTTCCGTACCTGAACGATATATTTGTCGCGGCCTAGGAGTTGCCAACCTGAACTTGAACTTCTTGAACTCGTTCCCCTCCTCGGAATCCAGGATCTGGTCGATGTCATCCTAAAATGGAGTGGGTGGACAGGAGCGTGATTTGTAGTTCGTTATTAGAGAAGCTATGCGGGTTTAATGGGGTAATAAAGCTCGATAATCATGCCCTTAGGTATCGACAACTACGGCGGAGGCAACTTTCATTCGGCTGAGCTTGTAAATGCTTTTGAATATCAAGGCTTATGATTTCCAAGATCCTAAAAAATGGTACTTTAAAGTTTAAATGCGAATATACCCTGAAATTCTCTAAAAATGTCTCAAAAACGTACGGTAGCCTCGACCGCGAAAGCCCAAAACGCCAGCACAAGACAGGCAGCGAGAAGAACCCACTTCATGGCTTCCCTAAAAATGTTGAATGGTGAATTGCCTATATCAATTCAAGCGGAATTAAATCGGTGGTGAGTTTTGGCCACCAAACTGCGCTTTTATACCAAGCAGAACAATGCTTTGATCGCTGGGTCCCAACGAATTCCGATGAAATTCCTTGGGATTAGTGGATTGGCCGTGGTGCCGGTTCAGCTTTTCAATAGACAGGATGCAAAAACCGAATCTGTTGGAATTACCGTCCCGAGAGAGCATTGTACAACTTTTAGCTTTACGGTTTGGTAAAGCTACCCGGTATTCAATTTATTCAAATGTACTTTAGACGGTCGGTTTAGGTGGAACTGTCTGAGTCGAAACTTTTGAATTTGTTCCTACTAAAGGTTTTCAATTTTCACTTCTTCGCTCTGTTGGTGTTTCGCTTCTTGTCGTTAATTGGTGATATTCACTAGTAGCATCTCACTTTATCAAGCTTATAAATTCAAAATTCAAGATATAATTCAAGCATATTTCGTAGCGGTCAACGCCGTGCATCCCCAGCCTTCGATGTCGCACATGTTGGCGCCACGCTTCATCTAAAAATGTTGTTTTTTATAGACAATGCATATCGATTAGCTATAAAGTAAATATCTGCCAATTTGCGTGAAAAATTCGTACCTGGAAATAGCCCTGCAGACCCCAGTTGACGCCCCACGAGTTGCGGACAAGCCAGTAGGGTACACCGGCGCTGTCGGTACCTAAATTAGAATTTGAAGCTAGAGATAGAGAGAGAGCGAGAGAGAGAGAGAGGAAGAGAGAGAGAGAGGAAGAGAGAGAAAGAGAGAGAGAGAGCTAGTGAAAAGAGCAATGGAGAGGGCGAGATCGAGAGCGAGAGAGCCGCAAAAACCATACCGTAACCAACGATCACCGCAGCCTCCCAAATGTCCTCCCAAATAGTCCGTATCTGTCTTCAAACAATCATTGTCGTAGGTACCGTTCACGTAATGGTAGAAGTCACTGCATACGAAGATGGCTAATAAATGACTATAGCTATCACCTTAGCTGCTTAAAACCTCATTTCCGATAAAGGCCCAAATCTCTCACCTGCTTTTACTGGTCCACCTTTTTTCAGGTGGTTTTCGATACCAGGAATATTGTTAGTCAAATCAACGACGGTAGCGTCAGGCTTGTCAACGGTCTAGACACACAAAAATATAAGAATCCTGCGCGCTGTACTTCAGGGCTTCTGCACGTGCACTTCCGTTTTGTCGGACGTAACTGAAAGTATGGGCATGAGAGAGAGACAGAGAGAAAGAGAGAGAGAGGCTGATAGATGGAAGAACGCGTAGAACTAATTTACTTGAGCACAGTAGCCGGCCAACCACCTGAGCATGAGCTTCCGGAGCAGTCCAAAAGCCACTAAAACCGATTTACTTTTATTTGTCTTCTTCCTCACCTGTTCCGAGTAATTCCTCCGGTTCTGATTCAGTCGATTGATCCAAAAGCGCCGCAGGCCGAAGAAAAGGTCCTTGTCCCAGGCTCTCGCTCCGCAGCCCAATCAAGATCTAGGCTCTTCCGCCGCAGGCCAAATCCGGGAGAACAACCAGTAACTAGCGCCGCAGGCATAAAGATTCTAGCGCGAGGTTTAGGCCTGGCTCTCGCTCTAGCGCCGCAGGCCAAAGAATGGTTTCTTGACCAAGGTATTTGCGCCACAAGCTAAGAAAGAAGGTATTCAGGTTCATGGTTCCTGGACGGGATCCATTCGAAAAAGGCCGCGAAGCGGTCTTTTTTCACTGGTCACAGAATGGACTAGAATTTTCAGCTACCCGTGCATTGACGATTCTTGGCTGGCCAGTCAAATTTCGTTGGGCTGACGCGTTAACTAGCTGGGTCTGTATGAAAAGCTATTGAAGGCTAACGGAACGAGTCGCAGAGAGAGAGAGAGAGGGGGGGGGAGAGAGAGAGAGAGAGAGAGAGAGAGAGAGAGAGAGAGAGAGAGAGAGAGAGAGACCGTGTTCGCATCGACATCTCTGTGCTTCAGTTTGTGAACGTGGAACTGGAGTTTCCTTTCAATTCAACTCCATTTCACGAACCGCTTTATCATTTTTGACAAAAATTGGTGGATACGGTAGCTTATCCATCACATGGCGTGAGTATGTGGGCCGGTGTTGCCCCACGACTCGAAGCTGGACGGGTCGGTGCCGCGTTTCCTCTGAAACTTTTGGAATTAAAGGTGGCTGAGAGAGAGCGAGGTGTAGAGAAAGAACAAAAGTGTTTGCTTACCCAGAAATAGCCCTGCATCCCCCAGTTCGTACCCCACGAGTTGCGGACGAGCCAGTAGGGAACTCCCTGCGGGCTGGTGCCTAAAACGGATAAGGTAGCCAGGTATAGCTATAGCAGATGTATTGGCTCGGCGCTTCGTGGCCCCTACAAAATCTCCGCCATACCGTATCCAACAATCGTCACCGCATGCCCTCCCTCATAGTCAGGATTATTCGGGTCGCAGTCGGTGCTGTACACGCCGGATTTGTAGTAGTAAAAGTCCTTGCAGACGTAGAAGGCTAAAATAGCCTTGATTAGTCGAATAGGAGCGTTTATAGCTTTACCTACCGTCGCGGGGCCAGTTGACCTGACGAAGCTTTGGATAGCCTGAACGTTTCCGGTCAAATCGACCTGGCCGATGACGGGCTTTTGGACTTTCTGAAAAGGATAGGGAATGCGAGAGAGAGAGAGAGATTTTACCTTACCTCCTTAGGGCAATTCTTGGCCTTCTCAGCGGTGTATTTGAGATTACCCTCCGCGGTGATCCCTTTCTTTTGGACATAACTAAAAAATGGTGCGTTTAGGGTATTGTAGCGTACTTTATGGCAGTGGCCGGCCATCCGCCATTGCAGCCGTCAGACGGTGCACAGTCGAGGACGTACTGATAAGGAAAGATCAGGAGAAAGATGATAGAGCGAGAGAGAGTTAGGCAGAGACAGAGAGAGCGATAAATCATTCCCCACTTGCTCCGAATATTGGACCCGATTCTTGGGAGTTGTCCGGTTGCTTTTGTAGTTTGTTTGTACTTCAATCGAAGCTACCGTGCTAAAAACGTATTTTTGTGCGTTTTACATTACTATATGTGATCCGATATACTCAACAACTAGCCAAAACCTACGCAAAAGCCCAACACGATCCACATTGGCCCTGGTCACGCACTGGGTTTACAGTACCGGTAGTACGCCAATCCCAGGTGTCAGTGTCGTTCATCGTCTAAATATTTACTGGTTTTTGTGTTGCTATTTGATAAACTTGATAATTATTTTACTATGATAATGTAAGCATTAATATCCTATTCTAAGGTTAGCTTAATTTTAGGTTAACATGGTTAATTGGCGGTTAAATGACTAAACGCGTTATATTCCACCTGGTTATAGTCATCATAATAATAATCATTATACTCGTCATGCTGTTGTTTTTCAAAATAGGCAATGATTTCGTCAATACCCTGCTGGAAAAATGCAAAAAATGGGTCTAGGAAGTCGGCGTCGAGCAGTACGACCTCCTCTTCATAGACAGGGCCCGGAACTGACTGGAAACGGCTAGATAATGCTTTAAATTTTGTTTTCGCTATTTAGAAGCGCCTCATAATGTATAATTGCAAAATTGTTTATAAATTTCGTGTTAAAATAATCTGGACAATTCACCTGTCTCTTGGCCCGGATCGCGCCGGCGGAAGGTGCATCGGCTGTCGGACCGGTCGATTCATGGTTGAACGTCATCTTAAAAGTGATGGTGATGACGATTAGTTTTTAGATGGTAATTTTTATAGCAATACATAAATACACTTTTTAATTGAATACGTATTTTGTAGCCAGACAGCCATAAATGAGCAAAATCAGTCAACCCTACCCGCTTCATCTCCTCCGGCGACCAGTCCATAAAATGGTTCATCCCGAACTCTGCGCTAAATCAGGGCTAATTTATTAAAAAAACACTTTTATATATAAAAATACACATAAATTTCATATATAAAATACCCATCATCCGAAGAATTCGAAAACTTCTTCAACTGCTCCAAGTTGTTGGCAAAGTTTTTCTGGCGCTGGAGACAATCGGCCGATCCGGGATCGCACGTTTTATTGAAGCTAGAGGATTTGGTTAATTTTTAGCGTAGTTTTTGCAAAAGATACCTATTTAAAAACTCCTGGAATTGCTGTAGAACATCACCGTCAAGGACCCCGTCCAAATCCGACCCGAACGAGCCGAGGGCTACGGTAGCCAATCCGAGGAATAGCAGGACCGAGGGTCTAGTCATTTTCCTAAAATTTTACAATACGCCAGGGCTTCTCAAAATTGCCAAAAAAACTGTATTAGAGGGAGCCTTATTAATATAGCTCATTTCTATGAATTTCACGTTTGTTTTTATAGATACCGGAACCCGAAAACAAACTATATCCGATGTTCACGGACAAAAAACTTCATAGTCCGGGGGATTTAACAATGGAGCCTCGCGTAGTGATATTTTTTGGGGCTTTTCATGCTTTTCCGGACCACACGCGAACACAAAATATTCCGGATATTAAGTTTTTTTCTATAAAAAAATAGTGCCATCAACGCTCAGCCCAAAGGTTCATGGAAAGCACACAAAATGCTCTAAAAAGCTGGTTAAGGCCTAATTTAAAATGGCGAGAGAAATTGTAGAAGTATCCTGGAACCGTAGGTCCTGTATCCTGTAGTATCCTGTAGTAAGTATCCTGTATCAATGAATTATATGCAAACTTTTGCTATTTTGTGTCAATTTTTTGGTACATTGTGGCATTCATCATCGGTGCCGCTTTGCATCAAATTATGTGGAAGAGTCAGAGGTGTTCGGCAAGTGCAAGTTCACAGTTCCACGATCGGATGGACTTTCGTAATGTCTTTTGTATCTACAAAACCTTAAAGCTCCAATTAAATTATTTATTAACATAAAATTTCCATTATTAATCGTTTCATATGTATTCTTGATTTATGGCAAGAGTACGGTCCTGGGCCCGGTGATCTCCCACGACTCGATGGAGGAGACATCGGCACCACGTTTGATCTAAAAAGGTCAGAATTAGCACCTCAAGAGCGCATTAATAAATATAAAATTAACGATAGTACAATTTACCATGAAATAGCCATTAATGCCCCAATCGGTTCCCCAAGAGTTGCGGGCAAGCCAGTAGTTGACACCAGCCGCGGTGGTACCGGAAAATTAGCGTTACGCGATTGGATCCACTCTCTCTCTCTCTCTCTCTCTTTCTCTCTCTCTCTCCCTCTCTCTTGCTCTCTCGCTCACCCGCTTTTTTTGTCACTCTCTCGCTCCCTCTTACCGTATCCAATGATCGCCACCGCATGTCCTCCTTGGAAACCGGGGCTGTTCGGTGTGCAGTTTGCGGTATACACTCCCGATGCGTATGCGTAGAAACTGTTGCAGACGTAGAAGCCTGAAAAAGGACACTTTAAGATTACTTCAGGGCTCTAAGGTAAGACATCACGTTTTTAGGAATACATCACGTTTTTAGGAATACTCTACCAAGTCATGCTGAGAATTGCTTGACTTACAGGCCGTAACTGGTCCTTGGTTTTTGATGAAAGTCACGGTTTGGCTGACATTTCCGGTGAAGATGGACACTGCGGAGACCGGCTTCTCGAGAGTCTGAAACCTGCATTAAAAGGTATGAATTTTTAAATACCAATCCAGTCATGCACTCAGTGGTATCTCCAGTGGTGCCACTGACGTAGGGATAGGCGGCTCCGCGCGGAGTTCCGTAGTTTTTGATGTACCTAAAAACGTGTTTTTTTTTTGAAAGGGTAGTGCTCTCTCTCGCTCTCTCTTACTCTCTCTCTCTCTCTCTCTCTCTCTCTCTCTCTTTTCTCTCTCTCTCTCTCTCACGCTCTCGATTCAACTCACGTCAGCGCAGCCGACGGATAACCGCCACCACAACCCCAATACGTCACGCTACAGTCGACCAGGTACTGTAAAAACAATTTTTCCGAATCACTTTTTTTTGTACCTGCTCCGAATACGACCTCCTCAACGCGCCCGTCCTGTTGTTCTTGTAGTTCATCTGGGTCTCAAGAGCCGCTACCGAACTGTAAGGAAATTGTTGATTTTTGTAGCTACTTATTTCCAAAACTGAAGAAGCTATTCGAAAAAGCGTACGCAAAAGCCCAGCATGATCCGCAACTGCCCTGATTTCTGATCGGATTTACAGCCGTTGTTGTTCGCCAATCAAAGTTCGCCGCCGCTGCCTGAAGTTAGGGAATAATTTTCAAGTCTCTATTCATTTCTCTCTCTTTCGCTCTCTCTTTCGCTCTCTCTCTCTCTCTCTCTCTCTCTCTCTATCTCTCCCCTTACCCTCTTGTTCCTCAGCTGCACCGGGTCGCTCAGGTCCAGGTTGTCGGTCTGAGGCTTTGGCATGCCGTCGATCGGGAAGACCATCTAAATTAGGATGGATAAGCTTTGCACGGGCTCAGGCTTAATCCTAAGGATGTAGTACTATTCAGACTACTGTACCTTCTTCATGTCGTCGTCCGACCAGTCCATGAACTTGTTCTCCTCCACCTCGTAGCTAAAAAAAAGAGAAATCGGTGCAAGGAGCAAGAAACGCACTCTCCATTCGTCGTCTCATTCAGCTCCTTCAGCCGCTTCAAATTCTTGGCGTAATTTCTCTTCCTCTGCTTGCACGCGGTGGTTCCATCGGTGCAGTTCCGCTTGAATCTGAAGATGAACAAGTGATAATTTTGGTAGGTTCTGACTTACTTGCTCTTGAATGAGTCAAATCTGTCAGTGGCGTCCTCATCCAGAATTCCATCCGAATCGATCTTCCTCTTGCCAGATCGGGCCGCCAAGGCCAAGCCCGATAAGGCCAGGGCGACGAGGAGGAAGAATCGGTTCATAATACCCTAAAAATGGTTACTACTTTTTTTGAACGAGAAACAAACGCGCCGCTTCCCCGAAGTTGGGTTTACAATTATGCCATGAAAAACTGAAAATAAAAGAGGAAATCCATAAGTATTTAAACCCACGCGGCTTAGCAAAATGAATTACGTTACGTACCGCGGGAAAATCAACGGAAATTAATAGGATCCACAGCCTAAAAAAACACAGTGAGAAGCCTTGCCCGTCCCTTTAAACTTAAAAAAACTTTTTTAAACTTTGGCCGAGCTTTAGACCCGGCCATCGGCCGATTCAATACGACAAAATTGAGCTCAAACCCGCATGGTCTATGCCTTTTTGGGTTGAATAGAACCCAAAAGTCGTGTTCGGATGCGTCGAATGACCGGTGAACCGATGGCCATTGATAGGCTTTTATAGGATTGGCCCCGGAAACACGAGGCCGCACACTCCCAACCCGCCCACATCCTAAAGCTGCCCCAATATCCCGCGCCCGAATTCAAACACCCAAAAAAACTCTGACTTCCCTTTGGCCAGCGCCCATTTTTTGTGGATTTCTGGCAATTTCTGCTCAATTTTGTTGGCGCGGATGTCGACCTTGGGTCGGCTCGCCCACATTGACCAATATCCAGCTGGGCAACGTATTGGGGGAGGTCAACCCGGATGCCGAATTTGATTCGATAATTTCTACACGCTTTTTCGAGATATGCGATTCAATACCGATATTCCAGCTACTGACAGCTGAAATGCCGACAAGCCAACCTCTGGCATTAAAAATGCTGACGTGAAAAATGCAAACATTCAAATGACCGTCAGTAAGAATGTGACAAGGGCAGCTCCAACAGGAGAAATGTCGACACCGAAAATAGCTACAGGCAAAATGCCGACATTCGAAATCCCGACCCCGAAAATGCGGACATCCAAATGCCGACACTGCAGAAATTAGATTTTTAGCCTTACGAGTAGTGTATTTGAATTCCAATTTTTGCGTGTCGGCGTTATTGCTTGTCGGTGTTTTACCTAATCCCCATTCAAATTTTTCAAAATTTTATATGAAAATTATGTAGAATTGTACAGCCTCTTCTTGCCCGTCTTTGAACCTTGTTTCTCTGATGCTTCAAAGCCTACCCATTATCAAAACGATCTGAGAAACTCCAAAAATTTGGACTTTGATCGGCTTTTTTTTTGGTTTTTGCATCGTGGCGCTGATGTCGACAAGGTTGGGATCTAAAATAACCTTCGAATCGGCAGCTGGGCCAATATTCCACATGGCTTACGACCTTGAAAACTGCAGCCACTCAGGGGGAAGCTGGTCAAAGAGTTGGGGAGGGACCATGGCTGTTCGACTGGTCTCTTCCGGTCTTGAGTCCATTTTTCCAAAAATATCGAATTATTGACTTGCAGCACCATTTTGGGTTAATTTTAAGGGCATCTTGCCAGTCGCGAAGTTACGTGCGTAGTTGTTATACTTTTGTGCGTATTGCGCAGTAGCGTGCGTAAATGCGCGTAGTGTAGTGCGCAATTCCATATTCACCACTTAATGCATGCATTATTTATTAACAAAGCCCAAAGCCTTGAACCCTTGTTAAATCCCTTGCTTATGGGAGAATCGCCGTACCGGGCCCGACCAGCTCCCACGTCTCGAACGAGGCGATGTTAGCGCCGCGTTTGATCTGAAAAATGGATAGAATTGACGTATTCAAGCCTGTTCAAGCTCAAGAAAGCCCCCTTACAATTCGATAGCTAAACAAAACTGAAACATACCATAGCGTATCCCTTCAGCCCCCAGTCGGCGCCCCACGAGTTGCGCACCAGCCAGTAGTTGACCCCCTTGGCGTTGGTGCCTAAAAAGCGGAGAATCACAGACGTTTCCCTCTAATTTTGTAGCGTTTTAAAGAACCAGCGAAGGCAAACAAGGGGCGTGGGCCGGAATTTGCTTTCCAAATTGCTTTAGAAACAGTATTGATATATTTCTAAGATACCAGGGCTGCAAAACGGTTGGTTGTGGATATTGAACTTTTGAACTTGAATCCACGCTCCAGGAGATTCTAAAGGGCCATTGAAGGCAGAAGTGGGCGGACTTCACGTCTTCCGGACACTTAGAGCAGCTTTAAAGGCACGTCGCGGGCAAAATTCGTTTTTTTTTGTTCCTAATTTTGTTTTTTGCTTTTTTAATACCCTTTAAAAGGGGCTTTGCTTACCGTATCCAATAATCGTGACGGCATGCCCCCCGATGTAGTCCTTGCTCTTCACGTTGCAAGCAGCCGAGTAGATGCCACTTTTGTACTGGTGGAAGCTCTTGCAGAGGAAGAAGCCTAAAACGATTAGGTGCTCGAAGTATACCTTAACAAAGTATCATAACCAATTCTGACTGCAAATTCGCTTAAAAACTAGCTAAGTGAGCCGACTTACAAGCCGTAACCGGTCCCTCGGTCCTGACGTATTCCATGGTCAGGCTAACTTTCCGGTCAGGTCGTACATCTTTTCGATCGGGTGCTCGTGGACCTAAAAAAGGGGTGGCTTCCAGGTGCCTTTAAAGGTAAGTTCTAGTCAGTAATGCTCACGCCTCCAGGAACACAATCCTTTGCCTTGCCATTGGCGCTTGTGTAGGGGTAGGCGGCACCACGGGGCGTACCGTAGCTCCGAATGAATCTGAAAAAAGTGCATTTCTGATGGTTAGAATTGCCGTTTTTTGTCAAAAATTACAAAAATCGACAAAATTAACTTCTTTGTTTTCAACTTTCAATCTTCTCAAAAAGTAAAATGGCACCCGAAAACTTACGCCATGGCAGCGGACGGCATACCACCGTCGCACCCATCATTGTTCCAGGCGCAGTCGATGAGGTACTGTAATCAGAAGAACGTTTATAATTTGGATCAATGTTTAAGCGTTTGATCACGAATGTGTCGGGCTGTAGCTGAACCTCTCGAATCGGTCGTGACGCCTACCTGTTCCGGGTAAGCCCTGCGCAACGGACCAGTCCGGTTGTTCTTGAAGTTCATCTGGATTTCAAGAATATGACTTTTTCAATATTCTGTTTAGTTTTCTATGCCGCATCAGTTGTTTATCAAATAGGATAACTCACGCAAAAGCCCAGCAAGATCCGCATTTTCCCTGTGAACGCACCGGGTTCACCGCTTTCGTCGTGCGCCAGTCAAAGTTTGGAGCAGCGGTCTGGAATTTGGAAAATTGGGTACTTTACAGCTTTTTGGTGATGCATGGGTTTATATTTCTTTTGAACTGGCCAATATCAATAATACAGTAGATAAATTGTAGTCAATAGTAAAACGCGGAGTTTCAGTATAGGCTGCGAAGAACAAAAGTTCGTCGTTAATAATCCCGAAGACTCTGGGATTTAGAATACGTTGCACCCCTTTTCACACTTTCACCTTTTCAGGAAGTTTAGGTTTTAAATCCTTGGCCAACTAGCAGCTTGTAGCTGTCCCTTAAGGCGCGAAGACGTACACGCTTGTTCCTGAAGTGCACCGGCTCGCTGAGGTCGATGTTGTCCGTCGGCGGCTTTGGCATGTCCTTCACTTGAAAGGCCATCTAAAAACATATTTCACCCTCCAAGACAAGCAAATCTCCGACCTGCTTCAACTCCTCGTCCGACTAGTCCATGAACTTGTTCTCCTCCACCTCGAAGCTAAAAAATATCGAATTAAGCGTGAAGACAGAAGTATCGTACTCTCCATTTGACGTCTCGTTCAGCTCCCTCGGACGTTTCAGGTTCTTGGCGTAGTTTCGCTTCCGTTGCTTGCACGCGTCGGTGCCGTCGGTGCAGTTGTGCTTGAACCTAACCGAAGAAGTTGATCGATTTTTGTAGATTTTCTACCGCTTTTTGAACGACTCGAACCGGTCGGTGGCGTCTCCCTCGAGGATGCCGTCCAAATCCAGCTTCCATTTGCCGATTCGGATGGTGGCCACGCCGGCGACGGCGATCGCAAGGAGGAGCAGCAAGCGATTCATGTTGTACCCTAAAACTATTTTAAATACTCGAATTAATGATGTTATAAAAACCAAACCCGCAACATCCGGCAAATCTCAAAAATAGGTGCTGTTAAAGGATGGGAGAGGCCTGACTATGGATCCACTTGGAGCTGGATTTCAGGGAATTCGCGATACGCAACGCGTTGTCGCTGGCTTTTAAGTAACGTGTCGTGATCGTTTTTGCAATATGAATAAGGCAACGCCCGTTGCGTGTCGCGTCGCGTAAAATTCATTACATCTCAATTTAATTAAATTTTGAATTGCCATTTTTAATTTATTAGAGGGATACTACGATATTTATTAGCGTATTCAAGCTACTTTAAATTCTTTTAATGCGAAAAAATATCGTAAGTTAGCTACGCTAAAAAAATAGCTTTTCGTGGCTGTCGATTCCTACATCATATTCTAGCGTATTTCCAACGTATTATTATTGTTGATTTTACAGCTACAGTACCCCTACAGTCATCACGCACGAGATTAAGCAGCTTTCTATGAGTGCGGAATTACATGATTTACAACCGTATCGCCTTGAAAACCTCAAATCTATAAAAAAAATTCAGAAAATTCAAGATCTCGAATGATCCCGAATTTAAGACCGAAGACTGTGTTGATACTACCTCCACCCATCTCGACGCCTTTATACAGATACGGTCTATTCAAGGGCCCACGCGCTGGCAGCTGTATCAACAGTGACCATCAAAGATTGGGCCTCGGAATTCCGACGAATCGCACGTATTCCTAATATATTATTTTTTACATTCCACATTTTCCGGTTCAAATCGTGTTCCCTGGGGCCCGTCCCATTGATGCCAGCCGTACTTTTGGATTGCGCATCTGTGCCAATAGACGGTCAATTGTTGGCCCGGGGCTCTGTCTGGCGGCCGGGTCACACGGTTCAGGGCTTTTTCCGGTACGCTACTTACGGTACTTGATGGGGTGAGCTTGTGAGCTTAAGCTTTTTTTAATTTTACGGGATAACTTCTCCTCGAGTTTCAGTATTAAGCGAGCGTCCCAATAAAAAAATACCCCCCTCTAACTCGACGCAGAAGTATCGGAGCGGAATGATAGTTACGCCATTCAAAAGCCTTGGGCCGGCGAATTTTACAACGCATTTAAAAACATTAAGGAACGGCCGTTGCATCCAATTAACGGCTACTTCTGATCATTTATCTTGGAGAAAGTGAGGCAAATTAACTCGTATGCAACCCCCGAAAAACAACAAAACCTCACAAAATGGCTCGTAAAACATTGCATTTAAATAAAAACATGGTTTTGAAGCCCGTTGCAAACTGGCCGTTTCAAGGGCCTTCTAATGGTGCAACCATCTTTCCGATACGATACTTCGGCGTCGAGTTAGAGAGGGTGTTTTTTTATCGGGCACCCTATAGTGCAGCAGCGGATTTTGGACAACAATAAGCCCTATCTTCTTTGTCAGGCTCCTGATCTGAATTCTTATCACTACGGTAGACTTGCAACCTAGAACAGCTGCACTTTTTTCGAAAGGGATTTCGGTGTAGAATTATTTTTCTCAAACGGTAAACCAATCGAGACTTTCCGAACGCAAAATTACCTTTTCCGAGCTTAATTTAATTATTTTAAGAATCGTAGTTAGCTCAAAAATTGTGCCAAGATAGACCGACCTGAAATGAAGTTTTACCCTTAGAGACGTTCACTAGTTGGGTTCGTTGTTTCGGTTTCACCGGCCCAATCTTCGGCTCACGCCTGGTGTGCGTTTTTTGTGCCTAACATAGCATAGCGTCCGCGTGTGCGGACAACAAGGTATTATTGCATAATTACAAACAATTATTTATTAACGATCGGTTCGGTCCATCCTTTTTCATCGACTTCATCAAGGCAACAAGACGGTGGTTGGTCCCATCAGCTCCCAGGTTTCAAAACCGGCAATGTCGGCCCCGCGCTCGATCTCAAATGATTTGATTTGGACGCTGTTCATCTACTTAACATTTCAATGCATCCAAAGTCAAGAAGTCCATTAAGAAATTGACATACCATAAAGTATCCTCCAAGACCCCAATCAGCTCCCCACGAGTTGCGCACCAGCCAGTAATTTATCCCAGCTGCGTTGGTGCCTAAAATTAGGTAATATTGGTCCGATACGATTGAAAGGAAACGGAGATGGCAACCAGCAGAGTTAATTGAGGAATTGGGACTTCAGACTACCGTATCCAATAATCGCGACCGCATGACCACCCAAGAATCCAGGGCTGCTCGGGGTGCAATCGGTCGTGTAGATGCCGCTTTTGTACGAGTAGAAGCCGTTGCAGACGAAGAAACCTGAAAGGTATCGTAAGAAAAAGAGGTACTTTCATTTAGCAGTTTAAACGCTTCATCCTGCACTAAAATAGTCTATGCTAACGTTTCATTGATACTTTTTAGCCAGGAATTAGCAAACCAAAAAATATAAGGTAATACTCACAAGCCGTGATCGGCCCATTGTTAGTAATAAAATTCATAGCGGCAGCAACATTTCCGGTGAGATCAGTGACGGATGAGATCGGCTTCTCCAGGGTCTAAACGTCTGATGTTGTTGAGTTCAGGGCGCTCTCTTACCAAGCCAGCTTTGCACTTTGTCACCTTTCCAGCATAAGGATAAGCGGCACCCCGGGGAGTACCGTACTCCCGGATGTATCTAAATAGCGGTTTTTAGACTTTAAAGGCCAAGTGAAGGCAGTTACTCCATAGCGGCGGATGGCCATCCTCCTCCACAACCGTAGTTGTTTGTTGCGCAGTCAACAAGGTACTACAAATTCCTGGTTTTTGCCGCGTCTTATTTTACTTGCCTGTTCCGGATAAGCCCTGCGGATCGCCCCGGTTCGATTGTTTTTGTAGTTCATTTGGGTCTCTACTGCGGCCGAGGTGCTGGAAGGATGCTAATAATGATAATGATAAAACGGCTTATCATGCGTACGTATACAAGCTAAACGTAAAAACTAGAGGAAATGTATAAGTGGAAACGTACGCAAAAGCCCAGCAGGATCCGCAACTGCCCTGGTTTCTGACGGCGCCTACGGCATTAGTTGTGCGCCAATCAAACGCTGTCGCGACGCCCTGGAAATCGGCTCTCTCTCTCACTCTCGCTCTCACTCTCTCGCGCCCTCTCTGTCTGTCTGTCTCTCTCTATCTCTATCTAGTTCTCGCTATCCGTCTTGCCGCAAAAAACTACCCTCTTGCTCCTGTACTCCGCCGGGTCGCTGAGGTCGATGTTATCAGCCTTCGGAGGTGGTAGCTCCTCAATCGGGAACACCATCTTAAACAAGGCTCATTGCGAGCCGTTTCACTGACCGACCTGCTTCAGCTCGTCATCCGACCAGTCCATAAACTTGTTCTCCTCCACCTCATAGCTAAAAATAACGGACGATCGTGCGAAACAGTTGAAAACGTACTCGCCATGCGTCGTCTCGTTCAACTGCTTCAGGCGCTTCAGATTCTTGGCATAATTCCGTTTGCGCTTCTTGCAGGCGTCGGTACCATCGGTGCAGTTGCGCTTGAACCTAAAAATGAGGAAATTAATCGCTAAAAAACAAAGGTAAGGTTTAACTGCAATTTGCAGACCTAGTTTTGAAAGAGTCAAATCGGTCCGTTCCATCCTCATCCAGGATCCCATCCGAATCGATTCTGCGTCTGCCAAATTTGGCAAGGGCTAGTCCTGCCAGCCCGAGCAAAAAAATCAGCAGAAATCGATTCATTTTTACCCTAAAATTAGCTATTTTAATAGATTTTAAGGGTAGTTGATGAATGCTTCTAAAATGCGCGCATTGTTGCAGCATTTTATGCGACTTGCAAGACCTTCTATGTCCTTTTATATGGGCCAAAAACACGGAAACACGAGGCCAGCAAGCCCTCCGCCGCCTACGCTTGACAAGCTGGCCTAATATGGACCAAAATATTCCTGAAAAATATGCAAGCTTCCGACCAAACTCTGCTCTTTTTACACGTGTTTCCAGTTGGTTTTTCGGTTTGCAAACCGGGCCTGGGGTTGGGCGACCTGTGCACCGGAAATGGGCAGCTCGAGGCTTCGGCTGAGCCAATAGAACCGAATCAAGGACATGCAAGGTGGTCAAAGCTCGAGTTGCTGATTTATACTTTTTTCAGGAACTCCAACTGGTTTGGGAACCGCAGAGTCGGGTAAATTGTTGCTAGTTGATCGGGCAGTAATTACAAGCTTACCGGATACAAGACTTGAAAGCTGTTCGGGTCGGATTGAAAGCTTATTCCGGTCGAAATTGGATGATGGCTAGTTCGGGTTAGTTTTTGGCTCCGGCTTCACCTAGGCTTTGATTAGGCATATGTTAGCCTAAGCTTAGGCATTGTTCGATCTTAAACTTCAGGCAAAGTTGCGCATCTATAATTTTTTCTTTTTTTCCAGTGAATTCCGATCACTTTCCCACTTCCGCTTGATAAGCCGTGCGCTATTTTTGGCCCGCCTGTCCGAAATTGATCGCTTTTGGTGAGTGCCCTTTTTGGTTTTTGCTCGCTCTATTCGCCCTAGAAATGTTCAAATATTACGCTACTACTTCGGATATCGGAGCCGCCCTTGGTCAACTAAAATTATCACCTAGGCTGAAGCAATTTCACTGCTCGATTCAACTCTTTTTAGCTGATGCTATTCCGGGATTGTCTATTTATTTGTATTCTTATCAAGAGACTTCGACAACCTATTGGCTAGGGGTGAAGCCGTTCGGCACTTTGTAGGTTGTAAAGTTGTATTTTTTGGGCCTTTGGCGAAAAATGTTGATCTATATTTAGTTTTCACCTTTATTCCGCAGCAAATGGGCCGGTCGATAGGAAAGATGTTCAACGATTTTTACTACAAGCTTTGGCCCTAGGAAACGGTCAGGCATTCTAAGAAATTTAATTTTTTTTTGCTTTTTTATGCAAATTGATGATTTTCTAGGAATCGCTGATATGTGCAAAATAGGAAACGGCATGATTTTTGGGGACCCGAATTTTACTGCCGAAACGTTGTCGGTGCTCTCAAAATTCGGTGTCACATGTGAGAGCACAAGGCCCGTGAATATTTTTGCGTATTCGAAAGCTCCGGCAGAACCCGGGATTGATCAGCTACCATCGGGGTAGGTGATAACGAAATTGTTTAATTTTCCACAGGTTTACTTTTGACGAAATTGGAGAGGAGGACCTGGAAATTGTTACTGGTTGTTGGAGTTTCGGATTGGAAGGGAGTGGAGAGGCTATCAGGTATGTGTGAGCTTTTGTCTATCTGTCTCGCTCTCTCTATCTCTCTCTCTCTCTCGCTTCTTCTCTCGCTCCCTCTTGCTCCCTACCTCTCCATGCCTCTCTCTATCTCGCCTTTTCCATAGCTACTCGCAAAATTCAGAACGAGAATACAACACCTAGCTACCGTAGCGATTCGCAGCGGCTCAGGAAACCTGGCCGGCTTCGCCATGATGAACCACGACGGTTTGAAATTTCTTATTAGCATTTTTTGCCGTTCTTTAAGGCATGATTATCGGTGTCAATGTACTACCCGAATATCGTGGGCAGCGATTACGGTAAGAATTCAACGATGTCAACAGCTAGCTCCGATTTTCAGGGATGCTCTTTTCGCAAAACTTGCCCATCAAACCCACGCAAAATTCGGGTTCCTACCATTTTATTGCTGTGAGATAAGCAATGGCATGATGCTGAAGTGGATCCCGGCTGAGCATAAGGTAGAACTTCAGGCTCCTCAAAAATTGCGTTTTCAGGTACTTAACGTTGGTGGCCGTCAGGCCATAATTTTGATCTCCTCACTGCAAATTTCGGAGGATGCGGCAGAAAATTTGCAACGGCTAAAAAGGAATAGATAAAGATATAGTTAATAATTTTTGAATCTGAATCTAATTTCTGAATTCGCAACGCTGTCGATGCATTTCTGCGCGTTATGAGGTCCCGCTTTCTCGCTGCCTGTAGCTTTTTTAGCTCTTTCTCTTTCTCTTTCTCTCTCTCTCTCTCTCACTTTCTCTCACTCTTTCGAAATTCCCTATATTTATTCGACAGCCACCATCATCCCAGTACACAAAAATACCATACAAGTCATTACATTACAATACGCGAAATGGGATCACTGCGAAAGGGAACAGAACACGACGTCGAGGTAAGCACAAAAAGAGCGGGAAATGGCGGAATTGAGATAGTGAAAGATCCTTGTACAGTCATCTTGTCCTCTACGTTCGGCGGCGCGGATCATTTATCGCCCATGGCGCCGGCGTCGGGTTCTCGTAGATGCGCCCAGTGCGGTAGGCGTCAATGTAGGAGTGGGCGCGGACGCACCAGTGAAGTTTCAGCTGCAAAACGTAAAATGAATGGTATCTGGGAACGCGATTTCGGGGAGTACGCTCATCTAGTAATCTTGCAACGTCTAGTGTCTGGTAAAACCCACTTCAAGCACGTCAAGTTCCAGGTCGTCCCTGATCTTGGAGGTGTGAGCCAGCTGAAAACAAGAAGAAGTCGGAGGGTCGGGTTGCACTTACCATGTCGATGGACAGCTCACGGCGCGAAACTTGGTCGTAGCGATCGAGGAAGGAGCGGATCGCAGCGCACAGAAGATGGCGTTTCTTGTCGACATTTGCCTAAAAGGATGGAAAACTTGGGGGGGAGGGAGAGAGAGAGAGAGAGCGTGAGAGCGAGAGAGCGAGTGACAGAGAGAGGCGAAGGGAGGAAGATAGAGAAACAGAGAGAGAGAAAGAGAGAGAGAGAGAGAGAGAGAGAGAGGGAAACAGAGAGAGAGAGCGAACGAGAGAGGAGCGGAAGAGAAGACTCGAAAAAGAATACCTGCTGGCTGGGGCTGGTGTGATATTGCCACTTGGAATACATCCGACCCTCGGAGCTGAGATCCTGGACGACGCGAATCCACGAGCGCTGCATCTCCAGCTCGCGCCACGCGTTGCCGACGGCCAGCCCGGCGTTGATGTAGGCCAGCTGATCGGACGGGGAGCGCGAGCTGAAAATCTAGTGTGGAGACGTTCTCATTTCCGTTTTCGATTAACTCTAAAAGGTGCCCCACCGACGGAACCAATAGTCACACCCAGCCAGCATCAGCGAGCCGCGCTCGGTGACGGTGATGAGCAGGGCCTCACGACTCTGGAGTAGGGAGCGGTAAATGCCGAAAAAGGCAAAGCCCACCGCGTCACTGCGCCTGATCAGTAGCTGACGCGGCTGGGACATGGTTGAACTTGGGTCCGTCTTTTTCAAGTGGGCCACGATTTGTTGCAGCTCTGAAATTGTACGGATAGAGCATGACGTGCGTCTCAGGGGCCATCAGAATGACGAAATTATAGTGCCAAAATTAGGATTGTCCTATTATCGAAATTGTGTAATTTGGGAATTCCACGATATAGAAATTTCATAGTGTTCAAATTTTAGGCGGTTCGAGAATGTCGGAATTTGAATATGTCAGCATTTTTGCCCAGTCGACAGCGAAAAAGCTACCACGCCACAAACCGCTCGTGCCTCCGAGACGCTGAACGCTATCGGGAAGCGACGGGGCCAGCGGCCAAATGTCGATCGAGTCGATCTCGCGCTCCCCGATCTTCCATTGCTGAAAAAGACGGTGGTAGTCCGACTAGCCCGCCCTCAAAAATTTTATGTTTTTAATGGTCGTGTAGTAATGCGAAAGTCGAACCCAAATCATTTCCGCGCAAGTCTCGTCGATGGCGCGCCACATTGCGCGCAGAAATTGCGGGGTGGACTGCTCGGGAATGCGGAGACAATTGATGCGGTGGTAGTTGACTAAAGTGGGGCTCGAAAAGAAATTGGATGGGCTCGAAACCCACGCTGTTCGTCGGAAACCAGGAAGAAGCGGATGTGCATCTCTGGGGCCGTCACGTTGCAGAGGGCATGAAGTTCGTCTACCGAGTGACCGATGGCGATGTCGAGGCGTTTGAGGGGCTGAATGAAGCAAGGTATTTAAAGGGATTAGGAAGCGAGGAGAGAGAGTGAGTGAGCGGGAGAGAGGGGAAGAGGGAGATGGAGAGTGGGAAGGGAATGAGGGTGAGAACGACAGACGGCAGAGAGAGAGAAGGGAGAGGGTGAAGGAAAGTGGGGGGAGAGAGAGCGAGGGTGAGAACGACAGACGGCGAGAGAGAGCGATAGCGAGAGAGAGAGGGATAGAGAGAGAGAGCGAAACAGAGAGATAGACAGTAATAGAGCTTCAGCTACCCTCTCGAACTCCGCAATGGCCTGGATCAGTTGCAGGCTCGAATTATGATGGGCGGGCACCTCCATGTTGGCCGAGTAACTGTGGGCTTGACATTCTTCTAGAAAACTAGCACTATTTTGAAACAGACGACCGCGCACCCATTCCCCGTCGGAACGATTCGGGAGTAGCTGAGCTCGAGTCGCAGAAGCGGTCGGCCCTCTGACCGGGATAGGGCCCGGGTTGCTGACCGCGGTGGAACTGCAATCGGTTCTGGTTCATTAGCGGGGGTTTTATCGGTGATATATGCGGATTACGGTAAAAGGATGACCCTATCGGTATGGGCGTTGCTGAAGAGGAGGGTGTTGTGTTCTTCACGTAGTTGCTGGAGCTTCTTTTCGGCCTGGAGTAGATGGGGTTCAAGTCGTGCGAGAGAGAGAGAGAGAGAGAGAGAGAGAGAGAGAGAGAGAGAGAGAGAGAGAGAAAGAGCGAGAGAGAGGGAGAGAGAGATAGAGTGAGAGAGAGAGGAGAATAACGCGAGATACAGTCAGAGACATCTATAAAACCCCACGTTACTCCACCACTTGTCCTCGATGATGTACATCATCCGGTCGTGCTTCCGGTCCAACCTCAGCAACTGCATTTCGTTATGCTGGTTGCGCTTCCTAAAGCGCCTTCAACGGCAAAAATTCCAAACACATACGACTGGCGAACGTAGCATGTCTCGTAGTATTGCTGAGTGCCATCAACACCCTTGCGAATGATGGCGACGCCACTAAAAAATTTAAACGTTTCTGATTTCATTAAAATTAACGTAAAAATTTGTTCAAATCTTTTACTTTCGCAAATATTCCCCAATTCCTTGGCAGGGAAAGGCGTGCGCACCGTCGGCGGCTATGTAGTAGCGTTTTGGCATCGCGGTAATGAGGGTCTAAATCTCAAATTTACAAATTTGAAGATTTGAAAAGTTTGAGGTTTTTGCACATTTTTACAAACAAAAACGGGGGCTAGTAAAAAAACAGTAGTAAAAACAGTGGAAACGAGCTTCCTCTATTTATCTTAGAGAAATTGTATTCTGACCAAAAGAGTTTGATTCCTTCCCGATACTCCGCCCCCACCCCCCCCCCCCTCCCCCGATAATGCTAAAGTACCGCAAAAGTAAAAATTTTCGAAATAATTATTACATTTTTTGGTTTTTTTTAAGCTAAATTTTTACAATTCGGATAAGCGGGGGGGCGGGGGGATTTTAGGCGGGGAGGGGGGAAACCAGCTTTTTTTTGTCGGCCCTGGTGGGGATAGTAATCAAATATAAAGTGTTTTCACATTGTTTTTAGCAGAATTTAAGCCTATTTGAATCGGAAAAACTTTTTAAAAAGTTAGAAAAACGCTTGAAAAGTCGAAAATTTGGTCATTTTTGGGCCGGAAAAAAAATGATTTTTCGACCTGAAATTAAATTTTTTAATCAAGCTTTGTAAAGTTTTTATGTTTAGGAATAGCTATAACAATTTAGAAACACTTCTACTATTTATATAAAAAAATATAGGCTTGGGCGGAAAAAATTTCGGTTTCCCCGCCTAAAATCCCCCCGCTTATCCGAATTGTACCCTAAATTTTTGTCTTTGCTTAATGACGAAATAAAACCCATATAAATCGCTTGTATTTCATTTTTGGCTTTTTAGGAGCGAGGCCCCCCGCTAACGCACCAGAACTTCCTTTTCATCTTCTACCTTTAGGTATGGGTGAAGTTTGGCGATGACCAGCCACTCCAGCGGGGTCAGCCGGGCCAAGAGCATGTGCTGCAGCTTGATGGGCAACGCCTTGAACTCGTTGAAGACGATGAGGCCCGTGCCGACACGCTGGAATACGTAGCTATCGTCTAATTTGTAAAATGTACCTTCTTAGGCTCTGGGGTTGCATCTTTGGTGTTGATCTTTGTGGCGGGCTTCTAAAGAACCGGCTCGACAGCTTTATCCAAGTAACCCGCACCATTTGAGGATCCGATGCTGAGCTGCAAGTTGGGGAGCACGAGGCAGAAGTTGCCGTGGCCGATCCCGTATCCTCATCTGCACTGTCGGCGGGAGGGTGGTAGTTTGTCTGAAACCGGACGTTATTCTGCTCACTTTTCGCTAAACTGCAGATACCCCCGGCCGGGCATCGTCATACTAAATTTTAGCCACACACGAAAATTAGCATATTTCGCATACCCGAGCCAACAAGAAGCGGAGCAGAGTGAACAGCATGTTCCCGGTGCACGACTTTATCGAATGAGGGGAGGCAGGCTGTAGAAAATTTTGGCCCGAAATCCGACATTATTCGTGCTCCATCTTATGGAAATTTTGTTGGATGCAAGGCGAGCGAAATCTAGCACATTTTGGAGCTCTCAAGAAAGATTACCACATTAAGCCACCCTATCGCAAACAAATTTCCGTTCTAAACAAAACTAATGACCCTCGCTATTTTTACGCTACCTTTTCCGCAAATTCGTTTACGCTATATTTCCGCAAATTTTTAGATTTGTTTTTGTATCTGAAACGCTGTAAAATGCTACAAAAATGTTCTATATTTCTGATCGGCCGTATCGGTTTACTATGTATGAACAGAATTGTCCCCCCCCGCTAACAGTCTAGTACTATTCGATTGTACCAACCGGACGGGGCATGCAGTTAATCAACTCTCTAAAGCACCTTTTCAACAGGTGCGAGAAGCCAGGGGTATACCGATTCGAAAACCGTGTGTAACGGATGCCTCGTAGTGGTGTATGGCAACTTTTTCAAACAAAGATTCCCGTTAACTGTTTATTCCACAAAAATCGACTCAAAAAGACCATAAAAATCACACAAATGATTAATTAAAGAAAGGCGATGGTTAAGAAATGGGAGCCGTTGTTTTTTGGTGGCGTTCTCAAGCGGTTTAAACGGCAGGCTGGCGGGGTTTCTTGGCCTTCTTTTTCAGCACGGGCATTTGGGTTCGGGCACGGTAGGCGTCGATGTATTCGAGGCTAGTGGGGTCCCAGTGAAGTTTATGCTGAAAGAGGTAGTATCTTATGAAGATAAAGCGAGAGAGAGAGAGAGAGAGAGAGAGAGAGAGAGAAAGTTGAAGAGAGATAGAGAAGTCCTAGTCGCTCACGATCTCCTTCTCGCCTCGGCCCGTGCGTTGCGCGGAGCACTCATGCATGTTGATGTACTAAAACACAGGCTTTGAAAAACTTTTTGAGCCCGGGACGGTAAACGCTTTCAAATTAAGCTCTGCTAAAATAGGCTACCATATCCAGGGTCAGTTCACGCCCCGACACATTCACGTGGCTGCGGATGAGGGCCTCAATCTTGCTGTCGAGGTCTCGCTTTTTCATTTCGAGACGCGCCTGTAGAGTGTAAAAATATATTTTTATTTTTTGCCTTCTTTCTCGTCCTCCCCCCGGCAACAGGCCAGTCCACACTCGCCTGCTGAAGAGGCTTCAGGTTCCACTGAATCTTGACCTGAATCCGCCCGTCGCCCATGTCTTCAATCCGGCACTCGCTCGTCGATCGTCCTTCCGTCTCCATCGTTGCAATCGCTGCGGTGACCGCCTGTCCGGCGCGGACGAAGCCGAGCTGTTGGCTGCGGTCGCGGGCCCTGAAAAAAACGCATTTTAAAGGCGCGTGCAATCGCGTTTTCGGTAAGAGTTCAGTTTACCCCCCCCTCCCCCCAAGCCGGCGCTCAACTTTTGTATCTCGGCTCCCTGTCTATCTACAAGTGTGTAAAGTATACGAAAATGTTCGCCTTGCTCTGGCGAGTATTTTGGTATACCTTACACAACTGTAGATCAACAGGCAGCCTAGATACGGGAGGTTGGCGTCGGCTGGGGGGTGGTAATTTGCACTTAAAGGGCCCGTTCAGGGACTTTTTTTGGAAAAAGCAAAGATTTTTGCCGCGGCCGGGGGTCGAACCCGGGCCCCCCGCTCAGGAGGCGCGGATGGATACCAGTCAGCCACAGCTACAACCTGGCGAGGTGGCGAGGGGCGCCCCACGCCGCAAAGGAGGGGAATGGCCTGTCACAGCACGTGCAGGCAGTGCGCGCGGTCCCTACGTCCATCGGGTGTATACGTTGGACAGAGTATACGGCCCCTCCCTGAACGTGCGCTTTAAGCTGCATTTCCCTTTTAACAAGTTCTGTACCTGCGGAACCAATAGTCACATCCGGCCAGCACGAGCGAGCACCGCTGGGTGGCCACGAGGCACAAGCCTTCGCGACTCTGGGGTTACGACAATTTTGGATATTGTGAAAATTCCCACATTTTCTCCGCGGCGGATCAGGGCATAATTCGGCTTGCCGCGGAACGCATCCAGACGACCCTCGGCTAATTCGTGGACCGTGCGCAAGATTTCTGGAGCTCCCGGTTAGATTAAAAAATGCCCAAACCCGGACGCAGCACATCCCACTGCATCCAGAAGAAGCAAACCGGGCGCGGGGAAAACTCGATCGAGTCGATCTCGCGCTCGCCGGCGATCCATTGCTAAAAGCAAGAGGCGCATGGGGTTGGAGTTAAAGTCGTACCTCAATCATCTCCAGGCACGTCTGTTTGACCGTCTCGAGCACCTTGAAGACCTCGTCTTGCAGCGGACCCTTTTCAACCCTTTCGACCACAAACTCGCGGGGGCGGCCGCTAGGGTGAAGACGGGCTAAAATTTGGACAGATTTCGACATTTTTTGCATGTTCGAAATGTTGAGGCCAATAAAAAATAGTGCCGTTTTATGCCAATTTCGGGGCCAGACTCTACAGGGTGTCCCATAAAAAAGCAACCCTCCGGCATTTCGCCATAGTACATCCGATCGGTCCGAAATTTGGACCAGAGGTGTATTGGACCCTAAATAACCACAATCCTGACTTACAACCCGCCAGCTACAGTAATCTTCGAGATACAACAAAAATAAGCTTTATTATTCGTCTTTCATCTGGTTTTCGTCGAAATCGACCCTTTGAATATTAAGTGAAAATGAAGCGGCAAGCCTGCTTTACCCCTAGAGATTTTTCTGATAAAAATTAGTGAAATAACCGTTGATTTCAACATTTTTTGTAACGCAAAGTCGCCCCCGATATTAAGCGAAATTAGGGATTCGCAGCCGGAAGTCGATGCAAATCGATGCAAAGTCCGAAAAGATAGCCGAAAAAACTGTTAAGAACCGCGTAAAAAACAGTATTTTGACGATAACTCGAAAACTACTGTAGAGATCGGGTTATAAGTCAGGATTGTGGTTATTTAGGGTCTGTTACACCTCTGGTCCAATTTTGGGACCGACCGGATGTAATACGGCGAAATGCCGGAGGGGTGCTTTTTTTGGGAAACCCTGTAGTTTACCCCCCCCCTACCCCAGCCGTAACTTTTCAGCCATGCGTCCTTCAGCCTTATGTGCCGTCCTCGAATTACTATAAACAAGTTGTTTTCTTACCCCAAAAATTGTTAGAGAATCAACTATAATAATTTTGCTGTGGTGTCTGTCCGTCTGTCTGTCTGTGCGTCATGTCCCAGATTCAACTCGAAGGGGAAAGGAGCTAGAGCTTAGCTCTCTTCGGATTCGGATAGAGCATGGTCAGAAACCCCCAAACTGATAAAAAAATTATGAAAAAGTTTTAATTTAAATTATTAAAATTAACTTTGAAAGTTTTTTCCTTAGTAAAAGGGGTGGGGGACGGAGGTTGGAGTGATTTTGGGCATAGTGAGCCAGGTCGCGCGCGTTTCGTGGTTGAAAATTTTCACGGGGGATTTCATTTCTTTTTTTCTCTCATTCCATCCGGTCGGTCGTTATTTTCGTTTTTTAAAAGGATTTCGGCTAGGGGAGGTATCTAAAGCCATCAGGAAGGTATTTAGGTAGTTTTTGAAGGGGATTTCGGCTAGGGGAGGTATCTTAAGCCATCGGGAAGGTATCTAGGTAGTTTTTGAAGGGATTTCGGCCAGGGAGGTATCTTAAGCCATCGGGAAGGTATCTAGGTAGTTTTTGAAGGGATTTCGGCTAGGGGAGGTATCTTAAGCCATCGGGAAGGTATCTAGGTAGTTTTTGAAGGGGATTTCGGCCAGGGGAGGTATCTTAAGCCATCGGGAAGGTATCTAGGTAGTTTTTGAAGGGGATTTCGGCTAGGGGAGGTATCTTAAGCCATCGGGAAGGTATCTAGGTAGTTTTTGAAGGGGATTTCGGCTAGGGGAGGTATCTGAAGCCATCGGGAATGTATTTAGGTAGTTTTTGAAGGGGATTTCAGCCATGGGGGGTATCTGAGGCCATCGGGAATGTATTTAGGTAGTTTTTGAAGGGGATTTCAGCCATGTGGGGTATCTGAAGCCATCGGGAATGTATTTAGGTAGTTTTTGAAGGGATTTCAGCCATGGGGGGTATCTGAGGCCATCGGGAATGTATTTAGGTAGTTTTTGAGGGGGATTTCGGCTAGGGGAGGTATCTTAAGCCATCAGGAAGGTATTTAGGTAGTTTTTGAAGGGGATTTCAGCCATGGGGGGTATCTGATGCCATCAGGAAGGTATTTAGGTAGTTTTTGAACGGGGTTTCCGCTATCGGCGGCATTGATGGAGGTGGGAATGGATGTGGTGGAGTGGGACATGTAGGGTAGCCCGAAGGCCAGATGGTTGCAGTCGCGTAGCGACTGTAACCATCTGGTTTGTTATAACAATTATAAGTCTGGGTGTTCCTTAGTTAATTTTTGCTCGTCCAAAGTCAGTTTTCGTATCTCGGCTATTTTTGGTCCTACACAGCCGTCAATGGCACCAAAATGCAACCCTTGCTCTCTAAAACAACCCTACACGATGTTTGAGCAAAAAAAGTGGAAGATAAAAATATTGAAGCATAGCGGCTTAACCTTTTCAACTTGCAAAACCTTGTAAAAAATTTATAGCAATTTTTGCCGCGGAGAAACAATTTTTCTATAGTAATTCGACCACAGCTAACATTTTGGGATGCTCGAAGCATGAATAGGAGGCATGACTGAAAAGTGGGGGACTAGAGTCTTACCAATTTGGGGTTTTTGGGCGAAAAGCGCTGAAAAACGGCAAGGTTTCCAAAATTGCTACTTTTTGCTTTTTAGCGGTGAAATTCTCCATTCTAGCATTTCTATGACTTTTCACCAATCGAAAATGTGAGACCACATAGTAGAAATAGTCTATCCGGTGTGTTTTCTGTAAAAACGTTCAAGGCCCACCCTCCGGCTCGACCCCAACCGGGAACCAGATCTGCATCATCGGCACGCTCAGCTTGGGCAACTCCCCGAATTCGTCCTCCGAGCCGTAGATGCCGAGCTCGACGCGTTCGAACGGCTACAAAGGGGTTTGATACGATGAGGCAGCCCCTTGATTTCTAGAGAGCAGACCACAAGTCCAGCCCAACCTTTTCCATCGCGATGATGGCGCGGATGAGCGGGAGGCCAGCGAGGGGGAACGTGAACAACAACGAGTTGTTCATCAGGTAGTGCCGGGCTTCGTAGCGTTCTTGAAAGTGGGAAAATAATCCGTTTGACGGAATCCCGAAATTCAATTTTTAAAGCTGTTCTGTTGGCGCTTTTGCAATAGCAGGGGGGGGGGCAACTTGCACCCTAAGCTCCAATTTTACAATAATTATATATAATATATAAAAAGAAGTTTTTCTAGACGTTTTTTGCTAATCCTGAGCGTAAAAAGATAGCAATTTTTACTAAAATTTTGCATCAAACATAAAATTTTCGACCAAAAATGGCGCATTTTGCACGACAATTTAGCCTTTTCAAATTTAAAAAAAAGTTTTTTTGGTATAATTTTTAACTTTGATTTAATTTTGCTAAAAAGCATCATTAAGCGCGTAGAGAGTTTGGGAAAACAAAAATATAAGATGAAGGTAACTATTACCGTAGCCAACAGACAGCCCCTCGATCGGATCGTGGCTCAGCGAGTAGTCGAGCATGTCGGCGCGCTGGCCACAATATCGGAACCGTTGCTTCATTTTGGGGTTTGCCTGCAAGTGCGTAAAATTAGCGAGCACCCAGATGGGGGAATAAAAAACCATGGGGAAGACTTTCGACTCGCCCTGCAGCTCATTTTAAATTTGGGTAAGAGTTTACTTTACCCCCACACCGGAAGGGTCTCAAAGTTGTCGGTATTTTCGCTATATTTGTCGGGATTTTTGCAACGCGATTCGATAGAGCGTCGAAAAATATACTAAGAGTTTTAATTTGAGGCTACAACAATGTAAAATAATAAAGTTATAGCCAAAATTTGAAAGTGGCGCTCACCATTTTGGAATACGAATTTGCACAGAGCATGACGCGATCTTGGTCAATGCGCTTCTCAAGCATGTCTTCGGCTTCTTTCTGAAATTGACATTGCGAGCTTGATCAGAGAAAATCACTCAGGCTGAAAAAAAACATTAATAAAGATGAGAAAGTTAAACTTACGCTGGCCAAACCCACCTAGGCCTAACAATAAGTAAAACCTAGTTTTTCACGATTTTCACGATCTTTTTGCGCAAAAAGTCAAGCAATCCGTAATTAAATAGTAGTAAGTATTTTAATAATGTTTTGTCAACAGAATTTAGCTGTTTTCAAGTAGGGGAAAACTGCAAAAAAAAACTTCGAATTTGATAAAAAAATCTGACATTTAGACCATTTTTCGAAAAATCAATATTTAATCCGTTTTCTGATCAAAAAATTAGTAGCGCTTTTACGCGTAGTAACAGGTTAATGGGGCATAAAATCCGTTATAAAAAAAGTTATCCCAGAAGGCTAAGCCATACCTCGCTCATTTTTCCATCATCCAGAATATGCAACATCTTGTGGGCGTCGTGGTTCTTCCCCAGCAGCAGCTTCATTTCCGCTTCGTTGTCGCGCTTCCTAAACCAGAGATTCAGGCTGCACTCCGTAAAGGAGGCCACGTACGACTGGCGGATGTAGAACGTCTGAAAAGTCTCCTGGTTGCCGAGGCGGGTGTTGATCACGAGGTGGAGACCGCTGAGGTGAAATGTTTTCGAGTGACGGTTGAGCACTCACTTGGGCTGATATGGCCCCTCTCCTGAGGTCCAGTCCGCACACTCCCTGAGCACGTGGTAGCGTTTTGGCATGGCGGGGATGAGGGCCTGAATACTAGAGGGTGTCGTTGAACGTGACGAGGGTGCTTGTGCGTTAGCAGGAGGACAGCGTTTTTCTTTTCCGAATTTTTTCGAGGTTTTTCAGATAGCTTTTTGACTTGGAATCCACGAGTATAAATTATTTTTAGAAGAAATCAGCTAGATTGAGCGTGGAGGGATTTTTAAAGCTTAGAAAATTGGCAAATTTCTAAGCCATTGGGCCAAAACTTAAAGTTTTCGACGTAAAACTAAACGTTTAGTTGTTTTAATTTAATTTAAATAAAAATTAAATTTGCAAGGCCTAATCAACGGAAAAATTGTGCTACTTACTCTAAAGTAAGGGTGCAGGTTCGCGATGGCGATCCAGTCGAACGGCGTGAGAAGAGCCACGATCATCTGCTGCAGCTCCAGGGGCAGCGCCTTGAACTTGTCGAAGTCGGTAGCGATGTGCTAGAAATGTGAATTAGCATCTCAGCTTCCTTACCTCCTTCATGACTGGCTGTGCGGCACAAAGAACAGCGGTAGATAGGCGAGAATGAGGCCAAAAATGGGCGGTGCCAATGGAAATCTTTATTCCATATGCAGATTTCAGAAAGTGTATTTGATTTCCATATATACCTAATATCAGATGCAAATTGCAATGTTCGGAATGAAATATTTATTGTGCACACATTGTCGGAAATAAGCCCAAAAACCGCGACATTGGAACACGAGGAATCAGAAAAAAAAGGAGTGTGTAGCATAGGCACAGGAAAAGCCATCGAGGCGCATATTGACATGCAAAAAGCGGAAGGGATCGGCCAGAGATTTCGGAAAGTTGATCAGCTACTGGGCCCCGGTCGAATCGACAGAGCAGCCGCCGGTGCGGAAGGCGTTCAGGTAGGTCAGAGTGCGGCGGCACCAGTGGAGTTCCAGCTGAAAAAGAAGCATGAGGTAATTTTTCCGAGGCTTTTCAAACGCTATCGGCAATCGAAAACTCAAAAAAACTCACACAAAGCAGCCCATGCTCCATCCGGCGGCCGAGGTCCTGAACGTGGAGGGCCTAAAAGAAGCTGATGTTCAAGATTGACCCGTCCACCATGTCCAGGGCCAGCTCTCGGCGCGGAATATCGTCGTAGGCGTTGATGAAGGCGCGGAGGGCGTTGTTGAAAACGAGCCTCTTCTCGTTGACCAGTTTCTGTAAAATGGGGTTTTGGTCTGTTAGCCGGCGGTAACCACTCGCTGTTTTTCCAGCCATACCTGTTGATGATCAATAACGTATTTTTATCGTGTTTCTAGTAGTTTTTCATTCCTTTCAAGCTATACAAAATATTTTTTAAAATTTTTAAAATTCGGAAATGTAGACTTTTTTGCCTATTTTTCATACATTTTTTGATCAAAACGTCAAAGCTTTTGATTATTTTTATATTGTTTCTCTATCTAAATCTACTATATCTAAATTTCTAATGTCCGTACGCCCGCCGACGGGGAATTCAGCCAAATTTTGCATTCAAATTCCAAATTCAAATTGTGGGGGAGGGGAGGCCAGCGCTGAACCCGCGCGTAGCGGGGGGTCAGCGCTGGTACAATGTAAATTCTTAACCTGGAATTCTTTGAATGCAGCGGCACGCGACGCCGACCGCAGCGCGTTCAAAAAACCCGCCCAAATTGTTACCTGGTCCGCCGGGGTGAGGTTGTACTCGATGAGGGAGAGGCGGCCGTCGCCCAGCTCCAGCGTGTTGCGCGTGGACCAGCCGCGCTGACGCTCCACCGCCTTCATCGAGTCGGTCAGGCGCAGCCCGGCGTCGATGTAGGCCTTCTCCTGGGCAGTGGTGCGGGCGCTGGAAACATGTGGATGAAGAGCGTTGAAAGTTTAATCGTTCGGGTTCTTGTGCATGATTGCGGGGAGGAAACCCACTTTTTCCTATAGGCCCGAAAAGTTTAATGGCGCAAAGACAAACATTTTACTAGCATCATTACAAATTACAAATTCATGTTGCAAAATTCCCTCACCCCCCGATAATGCCAAAGCACCCCTGAAATCACACCTGCGGAACGCGTAGCTGCACCCAGCCAGCATAATCGACCAGCGATGGGTGACGACGATGCAAAGAGCAACGTCACTCTGGAAATTCCGTTGAATCGGTCTGGCTCTGGCCATGGCTGAATCTGTCCAAAAACCTACATCCTCACGGCGACGAATCAGCGCGTGCATATTGTTGATTTTCGCGTCCAGCTGTCCTTGCGCCAGATCCACCATAATCGCCTTCATGCCTTGATTGAGAGGCTTTGATTTCTCCCTGACAATCACGCAAACCCTCGAGCACGGAATCCCATGCAAGCACGTCCCGTCTGGCCGCGGCCTCGATACCGTCAAGCATGAATTCGATCGAGTCGATCACGCGCTCCCCGGCTTTCCATTGCTGAATATGGAGGATTTGACAGAATGGCTTGGAATTACGCAATCAAAAGTCAGCAGAGCGCGTTGCGTAGCAATCAGGTTCTGGTGCGCTAACGGGGCGGGGGGAGGTAGATCGGAGCAGGCTTTTCCTTGCCTCCGATGACTTCTAGCCCCCGCTAACGAACAAGCACCGAAAAATCTCGTAACTCGCGCGGTTCTCAAGGTTTCTTTATGGATGATTTTCCCTGCCCAGCTCTCACCTTAATCATCTCCTGGCAGGTTTTCTGCACCATTTCCAGTACGCGGAGCGAGCCTTCCGGGGTGGGCACCGGGGCACGGGGAACACCAAGCTCCTTGAAGAAGGGCATCAATCCGGCTGAAATCAGACAACTGGATTAAGCCGACTGGAAAAAATTTGTAAAACTAAAACGGACCCTGTTCGTTGGGCCTCGGCAGCGACCGGTAGTAGCGGATGTGCATCACCGGGATCTTGACCTTGCGAAGGGCCCAGATCTCGTAGAGCGTGCGGCCGACACCAAAGTCGAGGCGTTTGAGGAGCTGGAAAAGCCATTTATTTAAAGAGACTATAAAAGCAAGACGTGGGTCTTAAAACGTAGATAAAATGATCAATTTCACGCAAATATTTGGGATCTACCGCTTACAAGGAGTGCCCTTTTAGTGTCATCGGCAAAACCTTTTTGCGACCTAGCTCATTCGATAGAGAATTGAATTCTGAACAAGCTCCCGTTGTTCGTTTTTGCGGAATGGCTGCCTCCGATTTTATAAATTTAAAAAACTAAAAACAGCATTTTTGGGCCTAGATGCTCGCGCCACCCCAAAGATCACCCCCGGGGGAAGAGCCGCTCTGACCATTCCCCACCACCAGTAAGCGTGGCGCAGTGGCTAACACCACGGCCAACCAAACTTTTTTGCGACTCAGGCAAAAGTTCGAAACTCAAATCAACAATTCTTTTGCTTTTTGAATTTTGATTGCGCTGGGTTCATAGGTCAACCGCCATTTTATTTGAAGCAGAGACAATCGAACAGTCCTTTGTGAAAAAGCCTATGTTTTTGAAAACCATGTGCTAAATAAGAATCTAGTTGGTGCAAGCCGGCTTTTCGCAAAAATACACATGAAGCGGCCACAAGGGGTTTCAAGCGTAACCTTATTCAAAAAGCAAAAAGAATTGTTGATGTGATTTTCGAACTTTTGCCTGAATCGCAAAAAAGTGCGGCAGGCCGTGGTGTTAGCCACTGCGCCACGCTTACTGGTGGTAGGGAGAGGTCAGAGCGGCTCTTCCCCCGGGGGTGATCTTTGGGGTGGCGCGAGGATCGAGACCCAAAAATGCTGTTTTTAGTTTTTTAATTTGATAAAATCGGAGGCAGCCATTCCGCAAAAACGAACAACGGGAGCTTGTTCAGAATTCAATTCTCTATCGAATGAGCTAGGTCGCAAAAGGTTTTGCCGATGACACTAAAAGGGCACTCCTTGTTAGTCTAAAAATCGCTTGGAGGCAGAAGCTGTCAATCGTGGCGTACCGGAGCGTGTTCAGCGATGGCACCGATCAACGGCAAGCAGGTCTCGTTCCGGCAGCGAGGGTGCGTGTTGGCCATGTAGCTGTGCGCACCGAGCTCGGCTAGAAAAAGTTAATTTTAGCCTGCCTACGGCCCTGCAAAGTACGTACGTACTCTAAGTACTCTACGTTAAAAGTATCAGTACCCATGCCGCGGCGGAACGATTCGGGCGTGCCGCCGTGGGTTTCTTCAAGGATGTCGGCCTTCATGCCAGGAAAAGGGCCTGGTTGACGTCCGCCTTGGAACTGGAAATTGAGACAAAAATAACACAGCTAAAAATTAACGATACCTTGATGAGATGGCAATTTGTTAAGAGGATCTCCACGTCGTCCTTGATTCGCTTCTGGAGCTTCTTTTCGGCTTCGGCCTGAATTTATGTTGGAGAGAGGGGGTGAGAGAGGGAGAGAGACCGAGAGCGAGAGAGAGAGAGAGGGAGAGAGAGAGAGAGAGAGCGAGAGCGCGCGAGCGAGAGCTCGAGCTCTAGAACGCGAGAGAACCAGAAAGAGAGGGCCAGAAAGAGAAGGCCAGAAAGAGAGAGAGAGAGATAGAGAGAGAGAGTGAGTGAGAGAGAGTAAGAAAGAGAGGGAGCGAGAGAGACAGGCAGAGAGAATGGGATCCTTCGCATTACCGTGAATAGGTAATCTTTTCATTGAATTTTACTAAGGTTTAACTATATTGCCGTCAAAAAATTTTTAAGCTTATCTGTTTGCCACCCCCCCATACTGCAAAAGCACCGTGAAAGCCATACATCACTCAGCCCAGCGTCGTCGACGATAATCATCATCCGATCGTCGTACCGCTCGCACTCGAGCGTCGCCAATTCACTCCACCACTCGCGCTTTCTAGGCACAGGTTGTTGTGAAAATTTCATTTTGTACGATCGGCGGATGTAGCAGAGCTCGAAGCCCATGTCGTCGCCAGTAGGAGGGTTGTAGGTCAGATAGAGGCCACTGGAAGAGGTTTGCTGCTCCCGAGCAATGTAGAACCAACTTGTACTCATATGGGAGGTAGGCGAACCGCTCCTTTACCGGGCCTTGTCCCTGGGAGGCGATGTAGTAGCGCTTTCGCAGGCTTATGATCAGCGCCTAAAATTGTTTTTCTAGGCAGACTATTTGAAAGCTTTCATCAGATTATAGGTGCTTGACTATTAGCGGGGGGAGAGCGGATCTCCCAGCGAGGGAATTGCCGTATAACAGTTTTTTGTTCTTCGGGCTATACCTTGTGTTAGTACCATAATTTGTATTTTTGTAGTGTTCTTGGTGGTTTTTTTAGTGCCCAAAAGTTACAAAAAAAATTAATTGCAAAAATTCGTAATTTGTACCTGTTTTGGGCATTTTGGTTCTTTAGGATTCCCGGGGGGAGGGGAAACCAATTTTTTTCCTGGTGGTCCCGGTTGACCAAGTAATCAAATATAAAGTGTTTTCGAATTGTTTTTAGTAAGTTTTAACTATATTTAATGCAGAATAACTTTCAGAAAAATTTAGAAAAATGTTTAAAAAAGTAGAAAATTTGGTCATTTTGGGTCTTTCCCCCCCGCGAATCCTAAAGGTTCTATAGGATTTTTCGACCTAATTTTTATTTTTTAAATTTTTTTTGGTTAAAATGTGTGTAGTTTTTATGCTCAGAAATAGTTAAAAACAATTTAGAAACGCATCCGCATTTTATAAAAAAATCTAGGCTTGCGCCGAAAAAAATTTGGTTTCCCCCGGAATACTTCCCCCCCCCCCGCGAATCCTAAAGAACCGGCATTTTTAATACATTTTTGACCAAAAGCAAAAATGTCAAAATCCTTAAAATTTTTAGACGTTTTTTTAGATCAAAAACGTGTAAAATGCTATAAAAAGGTTATATTTTGTTATCATGCACAAGATTGTGGAAAAACCAAAAAAAAAAGAACGAGAGGTTCTTTAGGATTTCCGGGGGGAACCAAATTTTTTCGGTCCAAGCCTAAATTTTTTTCTAAATAGCGCATGCGTTTCTAAATGGTTTTTAACTATTCCTGAGCATAAAAACTACCACATTAGAATTAAAAAATTTAATTTTAGGTCGAAAAATCCTATCGAACCTTTAGGATTAGCGGGGGAAAGACCCAAAAATGACCAATTTTCGACTTTTTCAAACATTTTTCTAACTTTTTTTGAAAGGTTTTCTACTTTAAATATAGTTAAAATTTACTAAAAACAATGTGAAAACACTTTATATTTGATTACTAGGTCAACCGGGAAAACCAGGAAAAAATTTGGTTCCCCCCGGAAATACTCCCCGGAAATCCTAAAGAACCGAACGAGAATAGAATTTTGCAGCAATTATTAAATTTAAAACACTGGAAACTGTTATTAAAAAAAGTTTATACTTAGTTT